TTCTTCCGTGCTGGGCACACAAGGTCAAACTCAGGGGTCCTCTTGACATAGCGGAAGCCGTAAGAGAAACAATCGATATCTCGCATAGTTGGCTGAATGACGATTCGAGGGGGGCAAGAATCCACTACTCCATCGTCAGCAGCTGAGGCCGGGATACTAGTCTGAGCAATCGAGCTCTCGTCCTCGTCGACTTTGACAAGGTCGGTCTCCGTCTCATTGTGAGTTGACTCAGCGTCCAGAGATGCTTGATGATTCTCAACATGCTCTCTGATGATCTCAACGGCATGGTGGCGACCAGATTGCCACGCTCCATCGACCGTTCCAAAAGCATTGATACTCGTGTACTCACCAGCAAGTCTGAGAGCTCCCTTGAATGTTCCCAAAGGCCTATCCAGACTATGCTGATCTTCTGAAAAACCGGGTAGTATCTTGCAGAAGGCAGTTTGAATGAGATTGTCGGTGATCAAATGCTTGGCCAGAGGCTCCGGGACAGTAGTGCAGCCTTTGAATAGACTTGTCAGTGCCACTTTAACGAATGCATGCCAGCCTTGGGGACTTCGAGACGTTGCCGAGGAGATACATGCGACCAATACTGCCTTGAACTGATATGCTCGCGGATAATACTTCGTAATATTGACGAACCGTAAGCAACTCATACTCGCAATCTTGAGGACTTCAAGGTCGTCCCAGCCTTGACACTCTGGTGACTTCCACTCCTCAGGAAACGGAGTCGGCTCTCCTTGGTCCCATGGTGCGATCTTGAAGGTGTAGATAAGACGTTCGTCGAAGCCGGCCCAGAGTTTCGACAACGATGCCCTCAGACGAGTGAGCTCCTCCTCGGGAATTCCCGATATTTGAAGGGCAGTAGCACCCATTGGTGAGGGAAGGACAGACACTGGATCAGCCCTTTGAACGATCGGTAGAGGTAAACAAATGATGACATTCTTACACAGAACAAACCTCACGTTGGAACCAAGACCGGGTAGGGTAAACCACACAACAGAGGTCCAATCATTGACACCGTGAGGGCCATCGATCTTCCTTACTCGAGCGCCGCAGATGACCTCGAGTCGAGACTGGTGGGTTT